TTGTTTTGTCGGCTGTCATCGACGATTCAGAGTGATGAATGAAAAGGGGAAAGGATGGACTGAGTATCGGAGATATTCAAAGAGCCTGGTTGAATAATAAAAATAAAAAAGTAAATGAAAATATTGGAAGCGCGAAAGTGATATATTAATAATGATGAATGAAGTATCAGCTTAAAGAAAAAACATGGCGGCAATGTAACGGACATTCAGAGAAGTATACAGGGTGTCTCAAAGTACGTCATTTAAGAAATAAACATTACAGTTTAACGTTTCAACGTGCCATCCCTTAATGTGTTCAGGGTTTCTCAAAATGTGTCTCATTGATTTGTTATTCCACACGGTTGCTGAAAAAAGAGTGTACGTAATATCTCCGAAAACAGTTATTTTGGATTCGCAGACTTCCAGGACTCGCCTAAGAGTAGTCCTGGAATTTTGCCTACTCGTCCGAGAAAACAGTATTGGAAAGACATTTTCGAAATATTTTCTCGATAAAACGTAGTTCTCAACTGAGTTATCATTGATATAAATCAGTTCAAAATATGGAAAGCAATTTCACTTTAAACGAACTTTGATACGTCACGCTCTTACTCAGTACCCTGTATATTGGGGAATATTAAACACAGCCCAATGCATTGTTATTTAAAAATATTAAACAATAAAAATATTGTGTCCTTGTGTCCTTTTAAAACAAATATGTTTTTTGCCAGTCATTTTAATAATACGGTGAAGGCTGAACTCAATCAAATACCTAACTGATTCGTTCGTATCATAAAGAAAAGCAGTTTTTCTTTTGGAAACGATCAAACCTTGCGTTTGCGAGAAATATAACTCAGCCTCTTTTGACCAAACAGTTATAAAAATAAACAAAGGTTCTTCTCGAAAGGCCGTTCTTGTCTGGTCCTTACTGGCGAAAGTTCTACCAGTATAAAGTCATCGAAGTGTTTGAAATGATAGTAGTCAGTTGGCGAAAGGTCTGGGAAGTATGGTGAGTGAGGAAGAAATTCGAAGTTTCCTCACGATATGACTCTGCTGTAATGGTGTGGCTCAGTTGCAGAAAGTTATACTCAATCACACCAGCCGATGATTACCATAGAGTAACCATGGTCTTTTTTGGTGGAATTTCGTATTTGGGAAGTGCCTGGTTGGCTTATCTGTCTTCAACAACTGTCCTGAACGAACATCTCCTGTAGTCGTAGAGGATTCACTTTTCATCACATGTGACGATCGGATTCAAAAAAGGATCGTTTTGGTTGCCCAAAAGCAAAAAACATAGATACTTCGATCCAGTTTGTTAAGAATACGGCCTGCGCGTAACGAAGAGCTTGATTAAAGTTGTCTCTGCTTAGTGTAGATGTACAGTCTCCTGAATAAACTGTGAAACCAACGTACAAATTCCCCACTATTAGTCCATCTCATTATTGAATTCAAAATAATTTTGGTCAGGACAGGAAATGAGGGCTATAAAGATAACTTGTTTAATTATGAGATTAGTATTCTTTTGAGTTAAAAAATTATGAATAATGGTTATGCCATTAATCGGAGAAATGTTTTAAATAAACAAATGAAACTTGCTTTGAATTAGAAGGTTGCTCTTATTTCACTTCTAAATATGTACATTTTTTATACTTAAATTAAACGCAAAATATGGCGAAAATTTTCTAAGAATGTAACAATTAAGGCTTTCTTTCTTTTTATATTTGGTGTCAAAAAATCAGCGTATTATCCATTCTCAATCGATTTCACTTCCTTTGAAATTTTTGTACACTGCTTAAACTTAAGCCAGTTGCCATTACAACTCTTTCTTGAACTTTTTCAAAGTCCTTTATAGGTTTATTTTCTGCCACTTCGCGTTGCATAAAAAAATTACATTGGCTATAACTTCCCTCGTTTGACTTGTCAGCACTTTACGATTAAGGTTTAATTTATACTCCATCCTGGTTAAGTTACAATACTCAAATTGTACTCTTTACGCTTTATTTCTGCTCGGACTGTACACTGTACACAACCCGCGATGCTCACTTCACAACAGACAAATTCGACTGACTGGGCTGTGGGCGTTTCCACTCCTGTCTTCTGCGCACAGCTGAGGTGGTTTCAGATTAAGATTTTGAAACTTTTTCCTATTCTTGACATACTGTACGTAAGAATTTCTGTCGATCGTTCAAATCGTGGGGCACCCACTTTTCGAGCTTATCGACATCTCCAATACGTTTCAAACCATCAAAAATCGCATGGAAGCTGACTCCCAGTTCTTCCGCCATCCCACGCACTGTTTGTGATGGATCAGTCTCCACCAGGGTCCTCAAATCCTCGTCCTGGATTACTGTAGGTCGACCACTTCGGGGCTCATCTTCGAGGCTAAAGTCGGCAGCGCTTTGATTCAATTCAAATTCGTAGAAAAAAATTGGCTGAAAATCGCTCAAGATCATAGTACCTACTAAGCTGAAGAGAGGCAAAACAATTGCATTAATTTATAGAGTACAAAATTTTCAATCGATCAGTATATACTCCGACACAGTGGAATAAATATTCATTCAGGTATGGAGTTACAAAAACACATGACTTAAAACGGATAACACTTTTGAATCAACCAATATCTGTTATTGAATGGAACTGGCCGATAATTAATGAAAATCCATAGCAAAACTTTCTATCACTGTCACTCTATAGTGAAAATCAAAATGAAGTTTATTGGTGAACATTTGTTATAATGGGGATTGCAATAGGTTTGAAAAATATTACTGGAGTTTTTTCCCAACACCAAACCGTTATTTTAACATCTCGATACGTGTTTCGATCACCAAGTGATCATCTTCAAGAGGAAGATCAAACTAATCCTACTTACAAGGTTATTCATATTTATACCATAGGTACCTTTTCTAGGTACCTGCGTCTTGCGTGTCTTAAATTAATTTCACAATATTGTCTTATCTACTAGTCTAAAATGAATTTTACAATGTGTCCTTAAGTAATAGTCAGGTAGATCTAATAATTAAAATATTAATTCAACAAGCTATATAAAATTAATTTTACAATGTCCTTATGTAATAGTCAGGTAAATCTAATAATTAAAATATTATTTTAATAAGCTATATAGTATACTGTTAGGTATTGGTTCACCATCCTTATTCATAATATTATTATGTTTACTTATTTCTACACTTTCATAGGCATCTACATGCCTGGTTGTTAACTTGTCTAACTAATCCTAATGATCTGAAGTCTATGGCATTGTTTTGTTGCAAAATATCATAGGCGACTGCTGGTTTTTCAGGTCTTCCATATTCTAAGTGTGCTAAGTGTTCCTTATATCTTATTTTAATAGATCTTTTTGTCTGTTCGCAGTCCTTACATTTAATTTCGTAAATTCTAGACTTTTCCGAATTCTCAACTTTGTCTTTTGGACTTCCTAAAAGGCCCTGTAGTGTATGTGTAGTGTCCATGATAATACGTGTAATGTATACTCTCATTTAATATACTCATTCCCCATGTTTTATTTGATTGATTGCTTATTTTTATTGAGAAATATTATCTCGCTTTTCAGCCGAAGGTCAACTATTCAGAGTGGAGACTTCTTTACTTCATATCCTTCATTCTGTTGGTTGGGTTTTTTGTCCTCAACATGTTTGTAGGAGTGGTAGTAGAAAATTTTCATCGTTGTCGAGAAGAACAAGAAAAAGAAGAAAGAATCAGAAAAGCCGCAAAAAGGGCGTTACAAATGGAAAAGAGAAGAAGAAGTAAGTTCCTCACACAAAAACGTAGTTTTTGAAATTTATTTTCTTTATTTATCACAATTATAACAAATTCTTCATATAATTCCAGCATGAAAGACTAAGCCTGTTTCATTTTTTTCATTACCAAATTTAGTATCGTATTCAGTAACTATGAATATTTTGAAATAGAGAATGAAAACTATATTTTTCAACTTGGTGAATAAATGTGTGAAGATTCAATTCAATGAAGAAGTTTCTGAAAATTATTTTCAAATATACTACCTTCAAAAATCAATCTGAATGTTCATTATGGAGTAGCTTGCTAACCACCTGTTGTACCAACACGAACGACAACCCTCATAAGTCAAAACATGTGCGAGCTAAGGAATAACAAGGTTTCACCTTCCAACGTGCGATTGCTAATGATTCTGGCATACCCAAATGAGTTTTCAATTGATGTTACGATTCAGGCATATTCAACAGGCTCGTTTGAAAAGGTTTGGGTGATAATTATCCCAACCGGTGAATTGGCAAACGTGGTCCCTCAGAATAGCCTGCTAGATCACCTGTTAGAAGCCTTCAGTTTTGTTGGGATTCATGAAATCCAAAGTATATGTTGCATAATCGCCGTCCTTTCTACAACTCATCACAACTCCATTAGGTACCTTACAACTCCTAAAAACATACCATAATGTGGAAAATAATTTGTAGCCAGACTTCATTATTATTGGAATGAACTGTGCGTATTCAAAATTTGTTTATTCATTGAGAATATAAAACTGCTGAATATACTCAGGAACGGTTAATTCTATTTCTAAAAATAAACTGGTTTAGGACAAAGATTTGAAAGACATATCTGACCTTTTTCCCAAATTTCAATTATTTGCCTCTTCTCAGCTTATTATATGATGTCGTTAAGCGATTTTTTGGCCAATTTTTCTCTACGATTTTGGCCTCGAAGATGAGCCCCCAAGTGGTCGACCTACAGTAATCTATTAGAAGGATTTGATGCCCCTGGACACACACGACACAAAGATGGGCCCTTAAGTGATCGACCTACACCTACTGTGATCCAGGACGAAGATTTGAGGACCCTGGTGGAGACTGGCCTATCACAAATGGTGCGTGGGATGTCGGAAAAACTGGGCGTCACTTTCCATGCGGTTTTTGATGGTTTAAAACGTACTGGAGAGGTCAATAAGCTCTAAAAGTTGGTGTCCCACGATTTAAACGATCAACAGAAATTGTCACGTTTCTAGGTCTGTTCTTTGATTTGCGCAACTGAAGCGATCCTTTTTTGGATCGGATTGTCAAATTGCTAAAGGACTTAGTCCCCAAAATTCCATTAGATGTAGATCAAACACTCACAGCTCTGTACCGCCACAAGTAAAGATCATTCCAGCTCAATGTTTTTCAGTATAATATCAACCCTATATATTTCTAGGGCCCCATTCCTCCAGGTCTGACGAGGAAAAATTCGCTCAAAAAATCTCCAATTCACAAGCTCAATAAGACGTCCACTCCTGTTTTGCCAAGAAAAAATGGCCAAAAAGAATTGAAGTCGGTGAACAGTTTGAACGATAAAACTGTTAATGATAAAGTGTTGCCTCAAATCCACACGGAAGAGAGCGCTGCAAGAACCTCTCCTAGATTGAGCGTGTTCAATAGATTGAAGATCATGTTAGAGACCACGGGATGTGTGAAGGGAAAAGATGAATATTCCTTGTATATATTTGCTCCGGATAATAGGTAAGCTCTTACATTCATATTGAATAAGATTTTTGAATGCACCAACCGAAATAAATGGATGGGATTCACCCCAACAATCGTAAGTTAACAGTAACCCTGGAAAAATATGAATTGAAGTCTCAAAATTACATTGAGTAATATTTTGTAAACTGATAATGATAACAATGATAATGGTTACTTTCATAATCCCAAAAAACATACATGTTCATACAGGAAATTAGGTAATAAAAACAATACGATGAATAAAATGAAATGATAACAAAAAATATCAGTCAAATCAGGAGACAATTTCAATGGAGATCAAAAGGAAAGAATCAATTAAATCTGGTATTTTGAATGCTGCTGCAAAATCATTCATTTATTTATTATTCATCATCAATAGAAGTGTAATATTTTTTCTTTTCTATTTTGAATTTTGTGATAACATTGATATATTTTATGTAATTGGGCAGACTGTTATGAATTTTAATGCCAGTGAAATACAATGATTTTTTTTCCAGAACTGCTTTTTATTTGTACATTTTTCAAATGGTTCAATTGTCTGGTGAGATAATCATGGCTATCAAATTAATGATATATAAAGTATTTGAATAGATAAAAATACTGATAAATACCCTCAAGCAAATCTGGATCGCCGTTGACGTTATTCGACAATTCCTGAACGATTCTCATGCGACCTTTTTTTGTCAAAATTCATCAGTTTTGAAACGAATGTTGCTGCTACATGCTGCATGCCCAAAATTTCTGAAATTGATTCATGACATGAGCCAACCGATATGCCGACATCACCAGCAACTTTTCTTCACTTCCTCAATATTTTCATCGGTTGTTGATGTGCTAGGCGTCCACGGCGAGAGCCGTCATGGCATCTTCTCGACCTTCTGTGAAAAGCTTGTACTATTTGTAAACATATTTCTGACTGAGAGTACACTCATGGTATGCCACTGTCAACATTTCAAGTGTTTTTTAAGCACTCAATACCATTTTTCCACACAAAATTTGATGCAAAAACTTTGATCCAACAGATACTGATTTTTTCAATTAATGAAGTATAATAAAACCTTCAATATTAAATATCGAAGAAAAATTATCATGAAAACAATAAATTGAAAACACACAATGAAAAGAGAAATGAAAATGTCTATGTTTTTTACCACTTTTATTTGTAACTAACGTTACTGCAGTTTCGTCCTATATGGACGTTCTCAAACGTATACAATACAGAGTTTATTGTATAAGTTTGAGAATGTCCATATAGAACGAAATTGCAGTAACGTTAGTTACAAATAAAAGTGGTAAAAAACATAGAAATTTTCATTTATCTTTTCATTATGATCTCCTACCACGTAGTAACGGCTACATCCATCAATTTATTGTAAATACACACATCGCCAAAATTCTTGGACCTCCCTCGTAAATTGTAAAACAAAATATTCATCTTCATTTCTTTCGCCTGTGCTAGGCATACAAAAATGTTTACAAAAACAATATCCTCCAATTTTGGATAGGACCTATGTTTAAAAAGTGGTTCATATCAACGTGTTTAAGTGATTGTTGAGTTCTTCTTTGCAATTATGCCTGGCAATAGAATTTCAGTGTTCCATAGAGCAAGAATAGTGGCTTTGCATGATGAGGGTCTACCAAATCATCAAATCGCGGATAGACTAAGGATTCCCCGCGTTTCAGTTACCCGAATAGTGAATTTGTACCAGAAAACTAACAGTGTTGACTGGGACTGGGCGTCCTAGGGTAAATAATGCAAGAGAAGATAGGTATCTAGCAGGATAAGTACGTCGGAATAGAACCATAACGATCTCAGCAGTCCGAACTCATTCAAGAAGAACGTTTGGTCGATTAATTTCCAGTACCACAATACGGCGGAGACTTGCTAGAGCCAATTTGCAATTCAGTAGACCATTAGGAGTACCCAGGCTACATCCCAGACACATAGCCGCTGGTCTAAAGTGAGCATAGGAACACAAAGACTGGCTTTTAGCTCAGTGGCAAAATTTCCTTTTTTCGGACGAAACCAGATTTGGTCTAGTTAGTGATAGTCGGCGATACAGAGTTTGGAGAGAGCCAGAGCGACAAGAAAGACAATTTTTTGCTAGAGAAGTCATTCCATTCCAAGGAAAATCAGTAATGTTTTGGGGAGGCATAATTGCTCCCTAATAATTGTTACATTATTCGAGTTAAAATAAAAATATCAGTCAAATCAGGAGACAATTTCAATGGAGATCAAAAGGAAAGAATCAATTAAATCTGATATTTTGAATGCTGCTGCAAAATCATTCAATTATTCATTATTAATCTACAATAAATGTGTTATATTTTTCATTTATATTTTGAGTTCAGTGATAAGATTGACATTTTTAATGTATTTGGGCAGAATTTCAATGCCAGTAAAATACAATGATTTTTTTCCAAAACTGCTTTTTATTTGTACATTTTTCAAATGGTTCAATTGTCTGGTGAGATACTCATGGCTATCAATTTAACGATATATAAAGTATTTGAATAGATGAAAATACTTTATATAAATACCCTTAAGTAAATCTGGATCGCCATTGACGTTATTCGACAATTCCTGAACGATGCTCATGAGACGTTTTTTTGGTCAAAATTCAGCAATTTTGGAACGAACTTTGCTGCCACATGCTTATATAACAGTTACTGAGTTGTTTTCCTACTCAACCATGCTTTTAAAACCATGAACAATAGTTTTTCAACTGAATAACTTTTTTCAGATTTAGAAAGTATTGTTGTTGGTTGGTGAAACAAAACTGGTTTGACAACGTCATTCTACTCTTCATTGCATTGAACTGCATCACATTAGCAATGGAAAGGCCTAATATACCACCAGACAGCACGGAGAAATTATTTCTGCAAAGTTGTAATTATATTTTTTCTGTTGTTTTTGCCACGGAAATGTTTGTGAAGGTTAGTATGCCATTTCTTGTTCTTGTTACTTTTTGGGAAGAATCCTGAAAATATCGCCAAATGAAAAATATTTCATTTGTTGATTTTTATCGTCGAATATCCCCAAAAACTAAATAGTCGGGCAGGAATTTTGGGTAACCATATTTTAGAACCATTTTTTTTGGAAGCAGACCTGAATGTTGAAGGAGATTTCAATTAGCAGAATGATGAAGTTATGCCAAGCAATAACAAAGTCACCTAGTTAGATGTTTTATTTCGAAATGGGGTAGTTTTTCAGCAATATGGGATTCCCCCCGTTGTATAGTATTAGCGCGACAGTTCCGGGTCGATGGATTGAAAAAAGATGTTCTACAGAATGGCCTCCCAGATCCCCCGATTTGACTCCACTCAAAAATATTTTTAACTAGTAGATGAAATCATTATAAATAACGTGTTATAATAGATTTCATTCGAAACACTGGGAATATTCTCAAAACCAAAATAACTGTTTTTTAATGTTGTTTCGGCCTCACCGTAGATAATCTTGCCAAAATGTCGAAGTTTCTAGAACCTCATCTTCAGGGCTGGAATTTGGCATGAATATCTTTTTCAGTCTTTCCACTCATGGAATGTGTGAGTGGAATGTATGCTTTTTCTGTTTTTTCGAGATATTGCGAATTTTCACAAAAAAACAAGCAAAATGTAACGCCAAATACAGTTTGGTAGGCCGTGATCGAATGGAGCATGAAGTACCGAACGTTTCGTCTGCTACTGCGGTAGACATCATCAGTGGTATGTGCGTTGACTGGGTGCAAGTTATATCTCAAAATATCTTCTACGAGTGAGTCAATCGTTGCTGAAAAGTCAACAAAAGAATGATATCCTGATTGTTTGAATTTAATTTCTTCATTTTTAATAAATGTATGTTCGATTCATAAAACCCGTTCTTTCTGAGTTATTATCAGCATCACAATAACTTTGTTGCAGGTAGTAGCAGCTGGTATGTGCTACGGTCCAAATGCATATTTCACGTCAGGTTGGAATATAATGGATGGTTCCTTAGTAATAATTTCTTTAGTAGATATAATTATGTTTTTAATCAACGATACTACCTCTAGAATATTTGGAATATTGAGGGTGAGTATATTCCTCTAGAAATTAAAATACAATAGAACTTCTCTAATCTGACCTTGGAAGGTCGTACGTTCTAGTTATCATTGTCATTGTCAAAGAGTAAGTTGATTTGGAAGAGCTAATGAAAACTCGTTTCTATAAAAAAAATATCGATAAGAAAAGATCACTCTTAGACATTGGTGAATTGAGTTGAAATTTACCGGGAATGTTCTGGAAATTTTTGGTTTAATAACTATTTTTTATAACCGAAAATAAAGGTTCTTCCCGTTCAATATACAAACGTCGAGCTAGTAGAATCAAGTTTGAATCGTCATTTACTGACGCCAACGTCGATGGTGAAAATCGCTTCTACAAGTGTTCTAGATTGCGACAAAAATATCGAATTATCGAATATGCACATTGCATCTATTCGATATTTATTCTTCATTGCCTGCAATATTTCATGTGCCGGTTATTGTATTGTTACGTTTTTACTCGTGGCTTACCAATAATTGACTACACTGAACAATAATCAAACTTAACTTACCTTTTTTCCCATTAAATCGTCTTCGTATCTGTTACGGTTTAGAATATAGCAATGTTACCATATGATGAAAGAAACGGCCTGTATAAAACATAGTATGTCTCTTCGCCAAGTCTGGCGATCTGATGTTCCAATGACAAATTGTTAACAGATTTTCAATATCTATGAAGATACAGAAGATACAGCAGAAACAGGCTACTGTGTTCTGTTTTATAGGGAACAAATGGTTACTAATACATTTGGATAGATAGAAAGGTTCTACTGTACTCAAAATACGTGTGTGGACCTGAAATTACATGAAGCTTGATCTTTTTCTCTCCATATAAATATTTATTTATCATTTCAGGTATTTCGACTGTTGAGGTCACTTCGTCCGTTACGAGTAATAAACAGAGCACCTGGTTTAAAATTAGTCGTACAAACATTGTTATCTTCTCTGAGGCCCATAGGAAATATAGTTTTGATTTGTTGTACATTTTTTATCATATTTGGGATTCTTGGAGTGCAGGTGAGTTTTTTTCGAATTCATGAAAATCAGTTCTATTTTATTAATTTCAATGTTTATTTATCAAAAAAGTACGAAAAGCTGCAAATTAAACTAGAGAAAAAAGTTTCTCCGGTAACCTACGTATGAAACGTACGAATTCATTTCAAATGTCAAAAAAATTCTATATTTCACAAATAATCGTAAAGTAATGGAATACAAGTGTCTGGGTCCAAAACATCAGAATGATTGGTAGATTTTCCCAAGTAACACCCGAAAAAGTGTTACATCGATCTTCCATTAGAAGCTTGAGATGAAGGAGTGGAGTTGTGAAAAAATTGTTCCTACAAAAATTTTAGATATCAATGAATTGTTCTCAAAATCGTCCAATATACAGGGAACTCAGTAGAAGTGTGGCGTATAAAAGTAAGGATTCTCTAAAATGAAATGGGATACAAGTAGATGAACAAAGAGACTTTTGGCTCACTTCAAGGTCGCGCATCATTGATAAGTGTTTAAGAGAGAGAGACTTTAGTGAGTAGAAGAGAGAAACCTGTGACATAATCGATGCAGAGAAGGATGGAATGAGTATCGGAGAGATTCACAGAGTGAGGAACCCCTTGGAGCTCCGCCTTACCTCTCAGGCCTTCTTAGGGATTCGCCCTTAAGCCTCCTTGTCACGCACCAATCGCGTGATCCGCGATCGGTATGAGAATTGGATCCAGGTCATCAGCGTGGTAGACGTTGTCTTTAGCCTCAACAACAATGTGGGATATTAGAAGTAAATGCGAATTGTTGCGGTTGCGGTTGTTTTGTCAGCTGTCATCGACGATTCAGAGTGATGAATGAAAAGAGGGAAGGATGAGCTGAGTATCGGAGATATTCAAGGAACGTGGTTAAATTATAAAAATAAAAAGTAAATGAAAATATTGGAAGCGAAAAGTGATATATTAATGATGATGAATGAAATATCAGATTAAAGAAAAAAACATGACGGCAATGTAACGGACATTCAGAGAAGTATACAGGGTGTCTCAAAATATGTCATTTGGGAAATAAATATTACAGTTTAACGTTTCAACCTGCGATCCCTCAATGTATTCAGGGTATCTCAAAATGTGTCTCATTGATTTGTTATTCCACACGGTTGCTGAAAAATAGTTTACGTAACATCTCCGATGATAGTTATTTTGGATTCGCAGACTTCCAGGAGTCGCCTAAGACTAGTCCTGGAATTTTAGCTACTTGTCCGAGAAAACAGTATTGGAAAGACATTTTCGAAATATTTCTTCGATAAAACATAGCTCTCAACTGACTTTTCATTGAAAATAGAGTTGATTGAGTAGATCAGTTCAAAATATGAAAAGCAATTTCACTTTTAAACGAACTTTGATATGTCACGCTCCTACTCAGTACCCTGTATATTGGGGGATATTAAACAAAACCCAATGCATCATTATTTAAAAATATTAAACAAGCAAAATATTGTGTCCTTGGGTTCTTTTAAAACAAATATGTTTTTTGTCAGTCATTTTAATGATACTGTGAAGGCTGAAATCATCAAGTTGGAATCAACTCAATCAAATGCCATCAAAAATAAATGAAGAACGAGTTTTCTGACTGATTGTTCGTATCATAAAGAAAAGCAGTTTTTCATTTGGAAACGATCAAACATTCCGTTTGCGAGAAATATAACTCAGCCCCTTTTGAGCAGTTTTAAAAATAAACAAAGATTCTTCTCGAATGGCCGTTCTTGTCTGGTCCTGACTGGCGAAAGTTTTACCAGTATAAAGTCATCGAAGTGTTTGAAATGATGGTAGTCAGTTGGCGAGAGGTCTGGGGAGTATGGTGAGTGAGGAAGAAATTCGACATTCAATTCGTTAAATTTTCGGGCGGTAATTTGTGAAACGTGCGAGCGGGCGTTGTCGTGGAACATGATTGAACCTCTTCTGTTGACCAGTGTCGGCTGCTGCTGACGCCATGTTTGGTACATTTCGTCGATTTCCTCATGATATGACTTTGCTGTGATGGTGTGGCTCGGTTGCAGAAAGTTATACTCAATCACACCAGCCGATGACCACCATAGAGTAACCATGGTCTTTTTTGGTGAAATTTCGTATTTGGGAAGTGCCTGATTGGCTTATCTGTCTTCAACAACTGTCCTGAACGAACATCTCCTGTAGTCGTAGAGGATTCACTTTTCATCACATGTGACGATCCGATTCAAAAAAGGATCGTTTTGGTTGCCCAACAGCAAAAAACAGTTTTCACTCCTGTCTTCTGCGCACAGCTGAGGCGGTTTCAAATTAAGATTTAAAACCACCATTTTTCCTATTCTTGACATACTGTACGTAAGAATTTCTGTTGATTATTCAAATCGTGGGGAACCCACTTTTCTAGCTTATCGACATCTCCAATACGTTTCAAACCATCAAAAATCGCATGGAAGCTGACTCCCAGTTCTTCCGCCATCCCACGCACTGTTTGTGATGGATCAGTCTCCACCAGGGTCCTCAAATCCTCGTCCTGGATTACTGTAGGTCGACCACTTCGGAGCTCATCTTCGAGGCTAAAGTCGGCAGCTCTTTGATTCAATTCAAATTCCTAGAAAAAAATTGGCTGAAAATCGCTCAAGATCATAGTACTAAGCTGAAAAGAGGCAAAAAAATTGCATTAAGGTATAGAGTACAAAATTTTCAATCGATCAGTATATACTCCGACACAGTGGAATAAATATTCATTCAGGTATGGAGTTACAAAAACACATGACTTAAAACGGATAACACTTTTGAATCAACCAATATCTGTTATTGAATGGAACTGGCCGATAATTAATGAAAATCCATAACAAAACTTTTTTATCACTGACACTCTATAGTGAAAATCAAAATGAAGTTTATTGGTAAAAATTTTTTATAATGGGGAATGCAATAGGTATGAAATAATAAATTTGATCTGTTTTATTTTTTTTTTCAGTTATTCAAGGGAACGTTTTACTATTGTTCGGGCGAAAATCTTACCGATATTGAAACTATGGATGATTGTCTCGCGAAAGGTTACGATTGGAAGAATCAAAAATATAATTTCGATGATTTGGTGCAAGCATTGATGTCACTCTTCGTTTTAAGTTCAAGAGATGGTTGGGTCAATATTATGTATACTGGATTGGACGCTGTTGGAGTTGATAAACAGGTAACACAATTGAAAAATTTTAAAAAATCTTAACTTGGGGCAAGTAAAAATTACAAAACTGATACTCATGAANGCTTGCTAACCACCTGTTGTACCAACACGAACGACAACCCTCATAAGTCAAAACATGTGCGAGCTAAGGAATAACAAGGTTTCACCTTCCAACGTGCGATTGCTAATGATTCTGGCATACCCAAATGAGTTTTCAATTGATGTTACGATTCAGGCATATTCAACAGGCTCGTTTGAAAAGGTTTGGGTGATAATTATCCCAACCGGTGAATTGGCAAACGTGGTCCCTCAGAATAGCCTGCTAGATCACCTGTTAGAAGCCTTCAGTTTTGTTGGGATTCATGAAATCCAAAGTATATGTTGCATAATCGCCGTCCTTTCTACAACTCATCACAACTCCATTAGGTACCTTACAACTCCTAAAAACATACCATAATGTGGAAAATAATTTGTAGCCAGACTTCATTATTATTGGAATGAACTGTGCGTATTCAAAATTTGTTTATTCATTGAGAATATAAAACTGCTGAATATACTCAGGAACGGTTAATTCTATTTCTAAAAATAAACTGGTTTAGGACAAAGATTTGAAAGACATATCTGACCTTTTTCCCAAATTTCAATTGTTTGCCTCTTCTCAGCTTATTATATTATGTCGTCAAGCGATTTTTTGGCCAATTTTTCTCTACGATTTTGGCCTCGAAGATGAGCCCCCAAGTGGTCGACCTACAGTAATCTATTAGAAGGATTTGATGTCCCTGGAGACACCCATCACAAAGATGAGCCCTTAAGTGATCGACCTACACCTTCAGTGATCCAGGACGAAGATTTGAGGACCTTGGTGGAGACTGGCCCATCACAAATGGTACGTGGGATGTCGGAAAAACTGGGCGTCACCTTCCATGCGGTTTTTGATGGTTTAAAACGTACTCGAGAGGTCAATAAGCTCGAAAAGTTGGTGCCCCACGATTTAAACGATCAACAGAAATTGTCACGTTTCTAGGTCTGTTCTTTGATTTGCGCAACTGAAGCGATCCTTTTTTGGATCGGATTGTCAAGTGTGGTGAAAAGTTGATCATCTGCAACAACAGAAGTCGTTCAGGACAATGGTTGGACACCTATGAGCCAAAAAAAGACCATGGTTACTGAAAGGTGATCAGCGGCTGGTGTGATTTACTATAACTTTCTGCAATCGGGCCAAACTATGACAGTAAAGTCCTACTATGAGAAATTTGACTAAAAGTACCGAAAATTGCATCAGCGTAGCTGACACTGGTCAACAGAAGAGGTCCGATCCTGCTCCACGACAACGCCCGTCAGCACGTTCCACAAATTACGGTCCATAAATTAAGCGAATTGGGCGTCGAGTTGTGTGCACTGTACACTTTCCCAATTTATAATCGACAGAAAATATACTATCACAATGATTTTTCTCAAATTGGCGTATCGCCGAAATATTTCTAAAGGATTCACTCCATCGCAAATTTCATCTGTAACTGTAAAAACTCGTCTTTTGGTAATTACAAGCATGTCGCCTTGATGACCAAAATCTTTGGTCGTAGTTCGTCTCTTGGACAAGCTCCAGCAGTTCCAATAATAAAACGGAGCTATAATAATAAAATTATTAATATTTTTACCTTGTGCAAAAGATAGGTTTCGTTCGTTTCGATGCTACAAATGCAATTAGCCACTTTGACCAATAAATCTGACTTACCGTATGATCCCCTTGAGATATTACGCAATGTAATTTCTTACGAGAAACTAATTCTTTACCCTACTGAAGTTTACGAATCACAGGCAATAATCGCTTCATTTAAAAATAAAACGGCATTTGGAAACGACGAATTATCAATGAAAATCTTTGAAAATCTTCCTGTTACTACTCTAAATGCATTGGCGAAGGCAATCAATCATTGATTTCTAACGGGTTCATTTACCTCGTTCTTTAAAACTTCGATTGTAATCCGTCTTTACAAAGGTGGTGATCAAGAGAATCCTTCGAACTATCGCCCAATTTCACTCATTCCATCGTCAGCAAAAATTATTGAAAAACTGGTAAAAATACGTTTAACAGAACATTTGAACTTCGATAATATAATAAGCTCTTAACAATTTGGATTTCAGTCAACCAAAAATACTCATGATGCCATATTTTCATTTTTATATTAAGTGTATAGTAACATTAATAGACGAGAGATCACAGCAGCAGTCTTTTGCGATTTCTCTAAAGCATTTGACTGTGTTAATCACGAGATTCTGCTTAGGAAACATTTATCTCATAAATGGTTTGCATCTTATGTATCGGGTAGAAGTCAAATGATCAAATATACAACAGTATCTGATGTTTGTGACATATCTAACGGAGTACCACAAGGCTCAGTACTCGGACCTACCCTATTTCTACTCTATATCAACGACTTGACTACCATCGATATAGAGGGCAAATTTATTTTATTTGCCGACGACACTACAATATTATGGCGCAAAACCAACACTAATGATCTATATAATGCCATCTGCTCTGATATTTACAAACTCTCAGGTTGGTGCAAGACAAATTTATTAGTTTTCAATGTCTTAAATACCAAAGTTTTAATCATTTAATTGTATTCTTGATAATATTCCTCTAGCTTCGAATTCGAATGTGATTGAGAACATGTCATGCAACAAATTTCTTGGGTTATCAATTGATAGTAAATTGGAGTTTGAGAACCACATGCTATCACTTAACAAAAAACTTTCATCTGGATGTTATGCTGTGAAAATAACTTCTAATGAACTAGGACTAACTGCAGCTAAAACTGTCGATTATATTCATTAGTACAATCACATCCAAGATATGGGATTTCTGGGGGGTAAGTAATGAAACTCGACTCGAGTCGATTTTTATTCTGCAGAAAAGGTCATTAAGATTTATCTGTGGAGCCAGGCGGCAAGATTCTTGTAGGCCTTTGTTTGTAGCAAACAAAGTATTATCACTGTAATATCACAATATTATTCATTCCAGAAACAGTTTGTTTGGTGCATAAACATAGAACAGAACTTCCCTCAATTGTCTCTCATCACACCACACGCCAGACCCTAAATTTAAATCTTCCCATACTACTTTAATTGAAAATTCTATATTGTATAATGGTCTCAAGATGTATGTATAATCATCTTCCTAACTACCTGAAATGCGTAGTAAACTATATATTGTTTGATATCTGAAGCAGCATCTTTTTTCGAAGGTATATATCTCTCTCAGGACTCAGAGTCAATGTGATTGAAAACAAACCACATCCTCTTCAGATATCCAGTGGTGTCTCTCAAGGATCGAAATTGGGACCGTTACTATTCTTCCTTTATACATTGCATTTTCTGAATACGTCACGCCATTGTCAGGTACAGTTATGGTCTGATAATACCCAGTTGCATGCAGAGTCAGATGCTAGAAATGCAATACGCATATATACAGGAGGCTCAAAAACCGAAGAAGGCTCAGGATGTGGAGTTTAATCCAGATCACTAAGCCCAAGGATTGAGTGGGGAATGGAAAAAAATACTAACGTGGTTCGAACAGAACTGGCTGGTATCTCAATCGCCCCAAAAGAAATAACCAAGAAAGGAATTTCTGGCAAAAACATAACAATCTGCACCGATAGCAGACAAGCCCTATTAGCCTTGAACAGACGTGTTACGTCAGGCCTAGTACTAGAGTGCCACCAAAATTTAGCCAAAGCCTCGGTAGATAATAACATTATCCTGAAGAGTAAAGTTAATCGCATTGCCGACTCTTTAGCCAAGGAAGCGGCTGGACTAAGAATTTTAGGACCCAGTGGCACCTGCGGCCTGATGACTTTGACAATTACGGAACTAGCCAAACGTCACACCCATGCTCAATCCCTAAAGAGATGAGATGAAATCAAAGGATGCAATCAGGATCACCCTTGGCGACCCTAGGAAGCTGGCGCCGAAGAAATATCTGGCGATTATTAGGAAAAATCTACGCTTAACAGTAGGATTTCTGACTGGCCACTGTCAACTAAGGAAACACCTCCACAATATGGTACTAGTGGACACACCTCTATGCAAGATTTGTCCTATGCGAATGTCCGGAGTTATCGTCAATAAGAGAGTGTGTGTTCGGCGAGTCTTGGCCTACACCTGCCCATATAAAGGAGATATCTCCCAGAGACATGCCCACCTTCCTGAAAAGGACAGGATGGACCATGACCTAGGAGGACAACTCCTTGGGAGGATATACAATGAATCACATATGGCCTAAGTGCTGACTGAAAACTCTAGATTTTTTTCTGCTTTATACTCAACGCCTTTTTTTTTCAAAAATGCAACAAATTTTGGAAATGTCAACGGATATCGCAACGTTTTCCTTTATGGGTAATATGGATTTTGGCATGGGATATATTGATCACATGACTTATAATTATTGCTAAGCTTCTCTTGAAAAATAGGCCAGAAGAACGCTTCCTGAGAGATTCCCGACATTACGTTCCTGGCGGCAGTTCATGAAAGTATTGATTTCGAAGATTTTTCATTCGGAAATTAGTACGTAAAATATAATTTTCATAGAGGTCGACGAAAAAGTTTTTTTTCACGCAATGAATAATAAATATAAAACTGGTTGCGTTTTGAATTCTGCCCATCCAGATGTATATCTGTGCAAATTTTCGAGTAAATCTATTTTCCATCGTAGACCTGAAAATGTTCAATAAAATTCTTCCTTGAATGGATTAAAAAAATAAAATTCTTCGAAGACCTTTCAAATTCGCTATGGAGACTCCTAAGGACGTTCCCTCTCAGCAAATAAACTAGTTCCAATCGAAAAAAAAAGAAATTCGTGTTGTACTGTACTGGCATACGGAATCATAGTATAGGGACAATCACCTGCTGCCAAACGTCTCTTCATTACACAGAAAAAGTGCATTCGTGCCATGTTTCGGAAACCCCAAACAGAATCTAGTAGACCTCTTTTTAGAAAGCTACAAGTATAACCCCTTATTTCTCTTTACATATTGGAAACTGCTTGTTACATTTACAAACATATAAATACTTTACTCTGTCGCAATGACATTCACGGTTGTTCCACCAGGAATCAGCATTTGCTGAATACTCGTCAACAGATTGAACCTAGCGCAAAACATTCCTGTAATAATAGCATCGGAATTCCAATTTTTAATAAAATTTCCCAAAACATCACAGATGAACCTACCTATTTCAGATTCAAGGAGTCACTGAAAAAAGTACCAATTGAGGGTACATTCTATACTTTGAAATAATTTTTTAGTAGTAGCAATAGTGACAACGACGATTAAGTTGTTAAGATCTTCTTAATTTATTTTTTTATGATATTCAAGTCTGATTTTAAACAAAAAGATTGAATTTAATCCTGAAGTTAGTCTTAAGATACGTTTATGTTTTGTTCATTATATTTTCAGTTAATTATCCAAAGAAAATTACTTTAAGTTTTGTTGTTCTGTCACTATGACTTACTTTCATTTTTGTCAATTGCAGCAGTGACAATGATCATTAATTTCCAAAGATCTAATTAACATTTTTTTAGGATATAAACTATATGAATAATAATATAAACATATAAGTCTGATTTTAAATTGAAAGACTGAATCTAATGCTGAAGTAAATTTTGAGATACGTTTATGTTTTGTTGATTCTAGTTTTGGTTAATTGTTCAAAATTACTATTAAATGTTGTTGTTCTGTCACTAAAAGACGATAAATAAAGAGCTGATTGTCAAACACATATTTTACTTCATCTCTAGTAAACATTGAACCCATGTTTTGGTAGACATTCTCAGTGCTCAATTTGCCCCATACCCTTGCTCAACTTACCTCACCAATGGGGTACATTGAGCATACTTGACTTCCTGCATATAAATAGCTGTAGCTCTTAAATTCGACTTCTTACAAAAGAATTACTAGGGACACTTCTGATAAGGGATAAATTACGAATCCATCAAGCCGCTTAAGAACTCAAAGAGACTTATCATTAAAGATCTATATCCGTTCAAGTGAAAAATTGCTCAACCAGCCCCGCCCTACCCTACATAAAGCACTGATAGTATATTCTGTCGTACTCTGTATGTAAATGCATATTTTATCCTGATATTTAAATTGTAGTCTACCTACTCTGTCTGTATTTGTACTTATCATTATAACATTCAACTTTTTACTCTGTAATTTTGCTTTTTGTCTCTATAATCCAAATTTTTGACGTGTCTTATACCACTTGTGGTCTTCAAATTAATAAATTTGATTTGATACTCGTAACACATCACAGACATTTCATGGGACTTTTAGTACATTATCCATCTATAATTTTTATCGTTTTTTTTTTAGAAATGAATGAACCTCCTTACTACATCAACTATGCCCCCTGGAGATTAGACATTCACAAAATCGTGACGTCAAAATATTTCGATTTAGCTATAGCCCTCGTCATAGGGTTGAACGTTATAACTATGGCCACGGAACGGTATCACATGCCAAATTACTGGGAATACGGACTTAGGATTTTTAACTATTTTTTCACCGCCGTGTTCATACTTGAGAGTACCATGAAACTCATTGCACTTGGTCTCAAGGTGTATATGAAGGATAAATGGAACCTCTTGGATGTTGCTATTGTAATATTGTCAGTTGTTGGAATCGTTATTGAAGAAATCGTACAGGATTTGAAAATCATTCCTATTAATCCCACTATTATTAGGGTGAGTATTACGTTATAATATTATTAGAATAAAGACTTTATGACGTGTGTATGATTTTTATGAGAAAATTTCAGGTTGGGTACCTATTCCAATGCATAAAGGTATAGGGTATTCCATTAAATGCTTCCCATCTTCAAATTTAAATAAAATAAAGTATGTGAGAGATATCATCGAATTTTTGTATTCGTTTGAAAGACCTATTGATGCCATTATGTATGGAATATAACATCGTTCAAATCTCTGCGGCGGCTTATCTGGATGGAGCGCATCCGAAACGTCCAATTTTCCATGACTCTGACGCATGAATCAGGCTGAATTTGACCGATGGCATGGCTTTGAGGACCGATGTGGTTTGTGGCTTATTCGCACACACCTTCGACGAGAAAAAGTCTAACGGGGTCAAATCGCACCATCTCGGTGGCCAGTGCACATCACCAAGTGAGATACCGATACCCTCAAATCGCACGTGCAAAATATCCAATGTGGCATGAGCCGTATTGCACGTAGCGCCGTTCTGTTGACACCATAATATGTCGTTGGTGCCCGGAACATCCAATTCAGGCCAGAAGTTGGTAATCAGCGACCTATAGTGCTCGCCATTGACAGTGGTTGACGTCGTTTTCAAAGAAATATGGGCCGATGATGCCGTCAGCCCAAAATCCACACCAAACAAATACTTTTTCGGATTCATTGGACGCTCTTGGATCTCATGTGGATTGGTTTCGTCCTAAATTCAACAATTTTGTTTGTTCGCGTACCTATTCATGCAGAAATGGACCTCATTGCTGAAGATGAATTTTCGATGAAAATTAGGGTCATTTGCCAACTGTTCTAGAGCCCATTCAGCGAACACACGTCGATATCTACGGTCGTTGACTTTCAGTTCCTGGGTCAGTTGTATTTTGTACGGTGCAGGCCCAAGTTTCAACGCAAAATTCGCCAAGTTGTGGTCTGCGATAGGCCGAGTTCTTGTGAGTGACGCAAAATCGACTGCATGGGATTCTCCGGCCCACTCTCACAGACAACGGTGATGTTTTCGGCAGATCTTACGTGTCGTCGACGTACGGATGTGGGTCGATCGTTTACTGGATCAGTGGACTCAAATTTATCCAACACGTTACGAATAGTCCTCTCGGTAGGAAGATTATGGTGACCTTAAAATGGGCGAAGCGCGCGGTACGTTGCCCGAACAGAACACCCGTTTTGGTAAAAAAAATAATAATATTTACACGTGTTGTTGAATGCCATATCCATCCGTGGTGATTTGGCAAAACCGACTGAATATATGACAACTAATTTGACAGATGTACCTTCAACAAGATGGCAGTTATTCATTGTCAAAGTTCGGAATTCCCTATTGGAAGGCCCTATACAATATCCCATAGCAAAATTGATTATTTTTGATTCACTAGTCAAACCGTTGTAAAAATTGTTTGCTTTCCAATTCCATCCTAATCGGACAAAATGTATATATTTGAATTAGTAGTCTTAATGTTATGATGATAATGACTACGAAATAAATAAAACAGTTCTTAGATTCATCATGAGGCATTCGCAAATATGGGTACTTGGAGCGTTTTCTCGTTGCATATTAGGTGTCTGCTCAATTCCGAAAACATTGTTTTTTTTTCTTCACAGACATGATGTAAGACATGATGAAATTGGTTCTGTGAAGTCCGGACAAACTGGCCATTACATGTTCTCAATAGGACTTGGGTTAGAGGTTGTCATTTTATTGACATCTGTACCGATGAAGCAAAAGAAACCATGAGTTTTAACTTCTGGTTGCCATATTTGGCGTCTAGTAGATTATAAAAACGCCGGTTTTTTCCTTATAGACTATAAGACGTGGCCATTGCACGTGCTTAGCAAAGCTTTTCTCAGTGGTCCAACGAAACTACTATGTAGTGAAACGCGTATTGGAAATAGAGACTATAATTTGAAAATTTGAATTATCTTCATGAATAGTGTTATTCGTTAAGTGAAAGAACAGTTTATTTTTATTGCCCTTAGATGAAGATAAACTGATCTTCGCCTTTAATATACCTGTAATAAAAATGTTATTGTATATTGACTTACTATTGGAGATAATAAAGACGAATTATTATTATTATTAAATAAAATCTGTCTGTTTTTCCGTTAATCAGCTGTCGAAGATGAGAAACTTGTGCGTGCTAAGGACTAACGAGGTATTACCTTTTAACGTGTGATTCCTGTTCCTGTTGGTATATTCTTCGTTCGTGTTTATATCATTTCAAAACGGATAGTAAAATAGTGATGGTATATACTGAGAGGCCAATTCTACTTACTGACTTGACACCGTTCTCTCCAAGATCTTTTCATATTAGTTTTCATATTTTACTCAGTGTTTTAGAATTCTTCAAATTTTCAAACTCCATTGAAAGTTTTTACATACATTTTCAGGTGCTGCGAGTCATGAGGATAGCAAGAGTACTGAAGTTACTGAAAATGGCTAAAGGAATTAGGGCCCTTTTGGATACTGTGATGCAAGCTTTACCTCAAGTTGGTAATTTGGGGCTTCTATTTTTCCTACTATTTTTCATTTTTGCCGCCTTGGGTGTGGAGCTCTTCGGCAGGTTAGATTGTAACATAACACAATGTCAAGGTACGCGTAATTTATTTTTTTTTACTCAAATGTCTTCTATTGATTTGTTTTTCTCAGGTTTGGGTGAGCACGCCCACTTTGAAAATTTTGGAATGGCCTTCCTTACATTATTTAGAGTGGCAACAGGAGATAACTGGAATGGAATAATGAAAGACACTTTAGATGACGAAAACTGCGATCACAGTGACGACTGCATCAAGAATTGCTGTATCTCCCCTATCATAGCCCCAATTTTTTTCGTCATATTCGTATTGATGGCTCAATTTGTACTGGTCAACGTTGTTGTGGCGGTAAGTTTCTGTCAGTCCAAATAATGTGTCAGTTGTTGAACCTTCTGGTGTTTCAGGTGTTGATGAAACATTTAGAAGAATCCCACAAACATTTGGAAGACGAACAAGATATGGATGCTCAGTTAGAAAGAGAATTCGCAGAAAAGCAAGAAATAGATGAAAGGCGAGAACTCTGTTTGGCTCTACAACTTGACCAGGAATGCCAGAGGCAACAAAAGCCATTAACTAAGGTGAGGAAATATATCTACATAAATCTTCCTTTATCGTATCTGCATGGTTTTTCTGACCACTCGTTTCAATTCAGTAAACGTTGATATTATCTCTTTTCTATGTTTTTTACCACTTTCAATTGTAATTACATTCGCCAATATATACCATTCAGTACCATTGAGTACCTGAATTTACAGTTCACAATGCGGATGTGCCAATTTAAAAACCGGAGAGTAAATTAAATCGATTTGATCATTTAACAGGCTGCACCCGCAATCTTTATGCTTGTAAATTTCCAAGGATTCTAAATAATTGAGTTTGCAACCCTTCCTTGCATAGTGCAGAATTTCCTTATCGTTTAGATTCGAAAACTTGTGGTTTTGCATGCCAAGGAACGGTTTGAAAACATCGAATCATTTTTTCCTAGTCTGAATGACCTTTTCATGTTCATCATACCGTTTTTGGAAATTTCGTCCGCATTGTCCCACATAAATACTATTACACTCCGGACACTTAAGCTTATAAACTCCAGATTTTTCCAACTTGTCGACCTTATCTTTGGAATTGAAAAGGAAATGAGATAACCTGGCACGTGGTCTGAATGCTACTTCCACATTGTTTTTTCTGAAGAAACCTGCGATTATTTCTGTTCTCTTTCCAAAATATGTTAGCGTTAGCCATTTCTTGATTTCTGGTTGTTTGACATGAGGATATATTAATCTGTGTGTGAATGTCCGACTTTGTTTCCTGACTAACTTCTGGATAGTATCTGCGTTGAAACCATTATTATGACCTACTTGTGTAATTGTATCAATTTTCCTAGCTAGATTGTCTGCAGACAAAGGCAGTGCGAATGCTCTGTGCAACATTGAGTGTTAGGCTGTTAATTTATGACTGTCTGGATGGAAAGAATCGCTTAGGATGGTGATATCTGTTTAGCTAGGTTTTCTGAAAACATTGAACTCGAATTTATTCTGATTGTGCGTAATGGCCAGGTATAAGAAATGTATCTGTTTCTCTATCTCTGTTTCAAGTGTGAACTGAATGTTGCTATTGAGATTGTTCATGAATGTCATAAATTGGTTCAGCTGTCGTGAAGTACCTCTGAAACAGGCAAGAATATCGTCTACGTATCTGTACCAAAAATGAATATGTTTTTTACCCAGGTCGGAGTTTACTATAGTGGTCTCCAAGTTGTTCATAAATATGTCTGCTAAAAGTGGACTAAGGGGTGAGACCATTGGTAAACCTGAATCCTGTTTATAGAATTTGTTCTTCAACTATAGGTAGCTCTGATTCAGGCACACATCGAAAGCTGTTGAAACTTCAAAGGAAGTGATATGGTCTACTTTGGCTTGATCTAATATGTCTAAAATTGGGGGCTTACACTCGTTGTACAGTATGTTGGAGAACATACTCTTTACATCGAATGAAACTAAAATTTAATTATGTGGCGTGGTTTGGTTCCTTATGTTTTCTACTAAAGTCAGTGAATTTTTAATGCTGTGAGGTGGGACGAAATTGGTAATATTTTTGAACAACTTGTTAAGATGTATTCCTAGTTCTCTTACCGGACTATTTACATACGAAACTACCGGTCTTATGAGGTTATCCTCTTTATGTGTTTTTATCAGGCCATAAAGTTTAGGGCAAGAGGGGTTCATGTTGGTGATTCTCCGTTTCTCTGATTCCGTGAAAATGATTTTAGTATCTAACAGGAAAATTTTCAGTTCATTTTGACTATTTTGCGTCGGGTCTTTCTTGATGACAGTAAGGTTTTTCATCTCGAACTACTGACTCAATTTTCTGGACATATGCTTCTCGTTCAAGGATAACTATGGCATTCGATTTATCAGCTTTCGTGAAAACAAGATCATCATTTTTTTGTATAGTTTTTATTATGCCGGTTTCTCTACTGTTTGATAAAGAGAATGGATAGTTCTGAATTACTTCATTTATATTGTATGCCCCTATATCTCTAACGTTAATTACAATTAAAAGTGGTAAAAAACATAGAAATTTTCATTTCTCTTTTCATTATGATCTCCTACCACGTAGTAACGGCTACGTCCATCAATTTGTTGATATTATCAATTCCCATATTTTTTCAGGTTCTCTCACTGCCATCTAACTTCATTTACAATCCTCCGGGGACAAGAATCATTTTAGAACAACAACCATCCCAAACAAGACGTCAAACTCTACATAGTCATCAACCTATCTTAATGACAACTAATTTGGACGATATTAAAAATATCGACGAATCGCTATCAGATATTTATAGTATTCAAGAAACAGTACCAGAACGCTTCGAAAAAAATCACAAGCAGGTGAATTTGGACGAAATTGTGACAATTTCCCCATCCACAGAAACAGTGCCAAAGAAGCAAAAAGAAGACAACAAACCGAAGAAAACTAATAACGAACAGAGTAATATGCAGTTGGTGGTTCCTCAGGAAGGAAAATTGTTTCAAAAAATGTATGGAAGCACCAAACATCTTTTCCAAAAACAGCCGTCAATGGATGTGGGAGAAGAGACGCCCTTTCTGTTAACCATTCCTCGAAGTCTAGAATTTGCGCAGAGCATAGGAAAAGGTCAACGAATTTCAACAGACAAACGAAACTCGGATGTTGCGGAAATTCAAATCGATATCTCACACATAACGAAAAATAATGGTAACGATGTTGAAAAAGGCCAACAGCATGAAGTTGACACAAAAGACAATGATAATGTTAGTAAGTAGATATATTTTTGTACATGTAAATATCTGTAAAAATGTTTCCTAGGATTATATTTATTTTTACATATCTGTAGTGACTGTTTAGTATTTTATACATTGTTGAACAAACTATTGGATATTGAACCATAGGAATTGTGAATATAATTTAGTGTATTCAATGTTAGTTATAAATAATCGTAATTTTCAATAATTATTTCAACTGAATTCAGGAATAATCCATTGAAAATACTACAGGTGATATCGAAAAACTATGGTATGAACAAATGCCGAATTCAAAAAGCAATCGTAGAAAAATTCATGTTGTTTTCGAAGTAGTCGTGAATTGTATTTTAAAACTATGCATGAGAAGCAAAGTATATAGTCAAAATAAAGTATATCAATGTCAAACAGATAAATCATTAGATGAATGTATATTTTATTGATGTATCGAGTACATTACATAAAAACATATATCTTACTAATGAAAGTTATCCCATTGAATTTACTAAAAATCTCACCTAAAAAATAAGTGAAGACTATTGCTCTGAGTCTGTCATAAATAAGTGAATTCTCAAAAGAACTCAATCAATTGTTTTGTATCTATGCAAGTAATTATCATAGTTTGTTGACTTTCAAACCGTATGATAGAGAGCGCAGAAAAAATATTCATGTGTTTTTTGACATGTAACATAATTTAAAAATGTGGAGGGCTCTGATAGTTCATAAGACCTACCTCCACATAATAAAATAATTCAAAGTGAAATTTTGATGAAAATCTCGGTTCAGAAGCAAAATGGGTTCATCAAACAAAGCATAACTTGAATTTACTATGAAATATATTTTTTAGTTTCGGATTTCGTCGCATGATATTGAATATTTTTGAAAGTTAGTTCCAAGTTGTTCCTCATAAAATAGAGGGAGACTCTGCAGGTAATGCACATAGAGACATCTTTAACGATATTATCATAACAAAGCCCTCCAACCAAATTTCCTTTCGGTGACACTCACACGAAGTATTTTCTTCAACAAATATAAGTAGTGAAACTACTATATACATTTTGCAACGTAGTGTTATATATTGGAATTTTTAATACTACATCAATTTAAAATTTCATATATACTAACATTTGATCAAATAAATCTCGTTATATGCTTATATTTTCCTTTTGAACGTTACAGGTAAATCCTTCTATTTTAGGAAAATCATATCAAAACTGAACTGTACAAAACCGTATCACAGCAGATAATATGCTGGTTAAATTTGTTTGCATCACCTTGTTCAGTATTATATTATATATTTTCATAGCAAAAGATTAATAACAAGTATATTTAATTTATTTTGAATATGTCAAAATTGTTTTGAGAATTTGAAAACTGAACCATATGTTGGTTGGTATAAAGACAAAAAATTACAGCATTTTTATATATATCAGCGCACACTTTTATATTGAAAGATTGGTTATAGCAATTTCCAGAGTTGAGAGATCGAAGAACAGTTCGTATTCTCATACATTTCAATTAAGGTAAATGTACGAAATGCCAAAAGTATTGAGAAACCAGTCAAACACTCGATAAACTTTCGTCATCAGCACCAGATTTAGAATAAGTAGTATGTAAAAACTACTGGGTACATTCAATAGATGGACTCTTGTTGCCTGAAATTCATAAAAAATGATGCTGGTATTACCATATGACAAAACTACACTGATTTTTATCTATATTGATTATTGTATATCTCAAATAAGAATTTGTGTTTTTTGTTAAGTACCTATATGTATCTGAACTATAAATAAGAAATATCTTGATATCGGCAATAAAATGATGTAACATGGAATATAATGAGCGATCTAGAGATATATCATGTCATGCATTCTTTTACAGACCTGAATATTTTATTTCAAGTACGTTTTTGTGAGAAATACATTTATATAATTTTTAGTTGACACAAAATTGTTCATACATGTATATTCCTAGATATTTTTACTAACATTTTATTGTATTTGTTCACCGTAAACAAATGACTAGTGATTTGATTTCTCTAGTTCTATTGATTACATCGTGTGCATAAATTGACTAATATTTATCATTTCTTCATTAGTATTCAAGTTTTAATTATAAATTGATTTCTTCTTTTTAATGTAGCTGAAAATTAAGTTGAAACGTCTTTCAAATTAATACCAGTTCACAAAGATTAAAAATTATGAAATAATATAAAAATCAAATATACCTAAACTATATTAGTGAGATATTTTGTTGCACGATATTGTTATCTGATACTAGTAAGAAAAAGACCGTTCTTCAGAAGCAATTGAGAAGTATTTATAAAAAAAATCAAAATGATTTTTTTGATAAACCAATATCTTAGTCATTGAGACATCAATACTTCAGTTTATCGTTCTTCAAATTGTCGTATAAAAAACGACCCCTTCTTATATCGACCTCAGCAAGGTTTTGAATAATATTTTAGATATCTATTCGCAATGATCATTATCTATGATGTTCAAATCAACCTGATGTTATTCGAATAACTAGAATTGTTTGAATAAACATCAGACAAGTTGATATGGATTTTTAGGTACAATCATTACGAAAAGCATCAGTGGGCTGGGCTAAAAAATATATTTTGATAAATAAGCTGGTTTTTTGTTTTGTAGTACACTTCTTTTCGTATCAATGTAGCCCACAGAGTAATCTTGCAACTAGAGAAAAAATAATAACTAAGTGCATTTTCTGTAGTAGTTGAATAAGTTGCTTATTTGCTTATTATAAACTTTTTTTCAGTTATCACAAAAGAAATCAAGTGGTGAGCACACCGTACCTTTCAATATGAAAGAGTACCTATTCAATAAAATAATTTTTTTTAAATCTCAAATAGGGATTAATTCGGCCGGTTAATTTCTTTTGAGACCATAATAACTCCACTTGAAATAAAACACATGCATAATGAACAAATGGGGTATATTTAATTCACATTTTCAATAGAAATTAAAATTACTTCACAAGTCCCGAAAAAATTTCAAAAAACCCTTTACCTCAGTTACTTTTTGAATCACGTGTCCTCATCTTCTTTTAAAGTTCACAATATAATAATTATTACATTGAGTAAAACTTTTGAAAGCTTTATAATATCAGATAACAAATAAGTGAATAGAGGAAATAAAAAATCCACTGAAAACAACAAAAAATCAGTTACAGTAAAAACACAATTATTCATTTTGAAACAATGTTATTTGTTTAGACAAGGTTAAAACATTAGTCAAAATGCGTGATTCTGACCATTTAATATTATGTCATCTTGATGAAAACATACTTTGATATAACCCCTTTTGTTACTTGTCAGCAATGTTTCATCATAAATAATAAAATAGAAAATATCTTTGTAAAAGTTTACACAATTTATTTTAAAAAAAATTTAATTTTCATAAACGTTTTCCTTCGTTTGTGGAATATAGAAAAGTTTATTAAGTTCTGCTTCTTTATCAATCTCCAATAATTAAAATGTTTGAAAGTCAACAGAACTAAAACACCTCATATCGAAGCACAACATGTTATTTATGTTATGGTATAGATTATAAAGAAAAAAATCAAACATTGAATTAGATTTTAAAGTATACTATTAGATAGAGTGAAAGTAGAGTAAATTACTCTCAAAAATGATCCTTTAATGATATCTCGGATTAGGACTAACTACTTTTTTTTATAATATAATCTTAGTATTTTTCAATGAGGTCATTGATGTTGAAAGTATTATTTTCACCTTTTAATTCATGTGTATTTCAAAAATGTCCCCATAAATTATATTCGAAAGGAATCGTTCCCTTAGAACTAATCTGGAATTTACAGGGTTCTCGATTTAAACTGATTGTTCGAAAGTAGAATACACAAGTTAAAAGAATAATAAAGGGAAACAATTCTAAATAGACAATCTCAACTTCGCCTTCCATATGCTTTTTCTGATAGAAGTACTAACAACTGTCTCAAGTCAAATTAATAGGTATATAGGTTCAATAAATTAATGACAATTATCTTCATTTAAGTAAAATATATGTAACATCTGGTAGTGTTTGGATTCTTATTCATATAATATTGAAAAACGATGTTAAACTGATCTATTCAAATTAAATAACATTCACAAATAATTATATTATTCAACATTCACTTCAATATTAGCATTTCTTAATTTCCTTTTAAATTACGAAATTATTTCCTGTTAACAGTCCATTCGTTTAGGTGTCTGTGATATTTTAGTCTCTCTTTAGAATAGTTCATATTCAATATTTTTAGGTGAATATTGTTGATTATGCTCAAAATTCATTGAAAAATTCAATGACCATTTTTAGATTCAAATATATTTCAAATAGCATTTGAAACTATATCCTACTCTCATTGAATTTTACTAGAGTTTTGGGTACTTATTTATTTATTATTATTAAGAAATATATTGAAATTGTTTCTTCTACCTGTGCCTTTTTCTGTCTTCATAGCAGAACGTTATCTTGGTTTCTATTGTCAATAGTAAATAGATAAAAGTAAAATGTACAACTCATACTTAGAAATATAATAAAATAAATTCCAATCACTTGTCTTTTAATTGTTATAAATATCTTACTGCTCAATTCAATATGGATATCTGTGATGACACAAATACCTATTCATCACGGAAAAATTAGTAACAGTAAAAGTTCGTTGGACAGGTGGTCCCGAATTTCCATATTTAAGAAAGAAAATTTAGGAATTCTACTTCCCCAACATCAAATAAAAAAACTGTAGAAAATTACAGAAGAAAGCAAGGACTATATTATTGAGTTTAAATTACCTCCAATACAAACTCTTCACAAAGATTAAGCACAGAAATGTATATCAGGTACAAACTAAAAGAAAAACTACTATTAAAAAATATGAACATTGAATTACACGAAATGCCCTTTTCCGTTTCAGTTATTTTCAGTTCCAAACATTCATAATGGAATTGAAACAAAATCATTGACAGGAACGCTACACAACGTAATTTATGAAAAAATATCGATATAAAATTTCGCTTATGTGGAAAACACTCAAATTCTGGTGTCAGGAGACAGGATTTTTCTCAGAATAATTTTCCACAAAGGGAGGAACTCATTTGCGCTTTTTCTTGTGTTTTAGAAATATATTTGGCAGTGGCGCTTTCTCGCTGAACCAGAGGCTGAGGGCAATGCAAACACAGTCCTAGACTAGATCCCCTTCAGAAGTCACATCGAGCTTCCATTAGAAATTGGAGTTGAAGGATAATAGTTATCAAAAAATATTTTGTATAAAGATTTTAAATATCAGTATATTAGACCTTTTTAAAAGATTCTTCAATATACCTAACAGAAGCGTGACATATATCGAAGTTAGATTTTTTAAATGGAACAATATATTTATCTTTCCTTATTGCGATATTTAAAAAAAAATGAGGATTATATGGGTTTTGTTTTGTGGTTCCGGCCAAAAACTTTATATTTGCCAAACAGAAAGAACAATGGTAGGGAAATGAAACAATCATAGCTTTGAGTAATATTTTAACTATTAACATATATGTCACTGATAAAAAAAAAATTAACACAATTTCTATGTTATTACACAAAAGCAAAAACATAGCTTTTATATTTTTTGCAAATTGAATACCCATTTGACTACAAAATATAAAACACAATTCGTCACCTCGATTTAATTCTGATGTCCTGGATAGAAGATCTTGGCGAACCTTGGACTTCTTAGTTTCTTATAGTCAGACCCACCTGTTTGTGACACTGTAAAGATCCAGACCACAGCATGAGACAGGAACCTGACATGACTTTCGTTTTGATAAATGAAATGCCTTCGAAAATACTTGACAATTTTGAGTAGTAATACTAGTTACATATTCAACAACGTACAGACTATTGAACAAAAACATTCCACTTTCAAATCGAGCAAAGTTATCATATTCGGATTGATTCGGCCGTTAATTGATGAAGATCCATAGTAATTTCAAAAACTACACCTCACGATTTGATCTCCACAAACTTTATTTGAAAAAATATAATCATATGTTTCGCTAGCTGTAGCTGTTTCATACACTTGAAAAAGCTACTGTGCTAGCGAAACATGTTGTGATATATTTTTTTAAATAAAGTTTGTAGAGATCAAATCGTGAGGTGTAGTTTTTGAAATTATCATATTCGGAACTGAAGCCAAAAGATTGGTTTACGTTAGCAGTGAAGATCTAAGTATTGCATAATCACAAAATTTAACTACTCCTCTATGGTGTACAAATAAAAAGTGTTGCAGATGTAGAAACCAACAATCACAAAGGTGATGTAGTGATTTGTAGTGGTGGTATGGTGTGGTGATGGTGTGGTGTAGTGCTATGGAAAAGATTTTTTTTCTGAAACTGCTTGAACTTTTTGCAGAAAATGCTTTTTAAATTAGACTGGACCTAATCAAATGTGTTCGTTTGTAGTACATATGTGATGATGTTTGTATTGTCAATCCAGTTTTATTTACAGTTTGAGTGTTAGTTTCATTGAATTCATTCTATTGTCCATATCAATGAGGATTTCGTTATCGCAGTACATATGTTTTTTCTCGTTGGCTACTATGTTGTTGTCGCTAATGTAATTTGTCATAGGTATATTCTTTAAAAGAAATTTTTTTGTGGAGGGCCCAATATTTTATACTGTTTTTTTGTTTTCTGAAACGTTAACCACTTAAGAAAGCTAATTATCAATAGTTGATTTTTTCAATAGATTTTTTTCAATTTATAGGCAAAATTTATGAATACGACAAGTTACCGACTGATTGGACTTTCCAATAGTTTATATTATACAGTTTCTTTTCGGGGTGAACTTTTCAGTTTGTCCTTTACTAACATTTCAGCAGATTCTCTATTGATTTACTTTTTTTCAGATTGTGGAAGATTATAAACCCAAAAAAACACTATAAAAAATTGTCACATGTAGTTGATGTTCATATCATCATTTTTTAGTTTTATTTGCTGTTTTCATTCATTCATTGATCAATAACATAATTGAAACTAATGAAAAATAAAGAAGCCAACTCAAAAAAAATACATGTACTTCAAATGAAATCCTTATCCAATATGGTCTGTTGAGAAAATTTTGACAAATTTATTCGTCGACAACTATTTTATTATCACAACTGTTATTTATTTTCCAGCCATATCCGTGATACAGACTATTAAATGAATGAATAATAACAAAAATCAGGAGATCATTAGGAATAAACTTTACTAAGTTAGTGTTTTTACATGCTAGTGGCCTAACTACTACTTGTTAGTAATACCTACCTACAACGTTCAGTAATCTATCTACTACCTATTATTAATTCTATGCTAAACTATCTATTTTTCAATACCTCTAATTTGTTGTGTTTCCTGTATGTTAATGATTATCTAATATATAAAAATGGATGTTTGTTGGTTGGTTGGTTGGTTGGTAAGTGAACTTCTACATTGCTCAACCGATCGTGATAAAACTTGACTGTAACTCGCCACTAGATGGCGCTGTGGAACAATTTTCGAAAGCACTGTTCTATAACGCTGCGCACGCCTAAGTTCGTTGATTCTGAATTGTCAAAACATTGGAACAGCAGAGATACAGCAACATAGTACTAGTCTCTAATTGCCCACAATAAAAAATGGCGGGACCACAATTTCTTGTCCATAGACCGCTTACATTTCCCTTGAGCAAAGAAAGGTATGATATTGAGGAAAAACTTGTTAGGGAGGTGGTTGAAAGCAACAGGTACCCATCAAACATGGTGAATAAACTAATTAGAAAACAAAAATTTAGGGAGTATCCTCGTTATGCCTCGACTTTTCGAAAAGAGGAAGATTAAAAATTCATAGTGCTTGAAAAATCGCACGGACTGCTTGAAAAATTGCACGGACCTTCAACAATTCATTCAACAAGTGTTGGGCAGTCCGAAAGACAAGACGTTGGAAAACTAAAGTCTGGGATTTACGAAATAAGCTGCGAGGATTATGATAAGAAATATGTTGGTCAAACCAAACGGACTATATTAGCTCGTTACAAAGAACATGTTTCGCATGTTCGGTTTTATAGACCGGAGAAATCTAGTGTCACTCAACATGCCATATAGAACGACCACAGAATAAGTGAGAAATGTTTAAAATTGTTGAGACCGGTACATGACAACAGGTTTCTGTATCCTTAGAAAGCTTGGAAATCGAAAAGTGCAGAATAAGTTCTATGAATAGCGATAAAGGTTCCTATTTCAAACAGCCCTTTAGTCTTATACATATTAATTCTAAATGAAAAACAGATGAATATTAGAGATAATCCCTGACATAGAGGATATACATAACAAATTAGAGGTATCAAAAAAACAGGTAGTTTAGCATAGGATCAATAACAGGTAGTAGTTAGGTAATACCAACCAGTGTAGTTGGGTAATAAAAAACAGATAGTAGTTTGGCCGCAAGGATATTAAAACACTGACATAGTCAAATTTAGACATATTGATCTCCTGAAGACGCTAACTTGGTTAGCGAAACGCCCGTCGAAAGGCCGTAATTTTTATTCTGGTGTTTTTCATTTTATACCAGAGGTTCCAGTACGAACTATCAAGTATGTTCTGATTATTGGTTCATCATTTCTATGAAGACATATAAACAAATATGATGAATAAAGAACCTTTACATTAATAACTAACTGCTGAGAAAGTTGAGCAAATAGAAATATTTAGGAGTAAAAATAGCAATTATCAATTTGTTAGTGGATTTTGATGCTCAACTTGGAAGGTGTAGAACTCAATGTCACCTTCGAACACCAGACCAGTTTTCTTTGTGAATCATACAATAGGTTTTTCCAATGTAAATTATTTTCTTATTACATACGACCTCTTACTGCTTGTGCTTCTTTGTTTAAATACAGGCATACCCGAACTTTTGTTCGAGTATGACTGTATTAATCGTGCTAGTTAGGGTCTTCACACATTTCCTTTAATTTAATTCATGGAAAATGTTGAACAGCTTGTTCGAAACAATTTGACCTTTTTTTCTTCACCTGCAGAGAATATGTAGCAGAAATAATTATTGTTGCAGATACAACAAGTATTTCCTGGTATTCTGGAATCTGTATACCAAGTAATTTTTACAAAATGATCACGAATGACCATTCAGAGTTCAAAATCAGTTTCTTAGTTCATGGAAACCTAGACGCATATATTCGAATGTACAAATGGCACACCTTCAAAAATAAAGAATTTTGATTCATACTCTCAGCTAACTTTTTCTTGTTCATTAAAAGGAGCAACCTCTAAACTATAACATACATTAATCAATGTTTCTCTTCTTTTTTGCCCGTATGCAACAAAATGAGTTAATTTCATAACAGAGAACTGCTATTTTTTTAGATATTTGAATATCTAATTTCTCAGGTTGAGAAACAAGATATATTTCCAACACTGGAGATAGTTATAATGAATAGTTGGATAATTATTTATATATCAATATCTAGAAAGATTTGAAAAACGGAACAGAATAGACTTTTTGACATTTGTAACAAGTCAGGTCCATCCTATGTTACGTTTTAAATTTATCACAAAAATTATAACTGAATCAGAAATGCATTATTGCTATTCAAAGTAGTGTCTGTCGACAAACTACTCTTGAAAAATATTTGTTAACATAAATCGGATATGATTGTTAAAACGATTTTCAAATTTATTAATCAAAATTAGAAGAAAAACTCAATATTGAAACAAATGAATGAGAATGAAATGAGGCATGATTATCTGAAAATATTTTCGGAAAATGAGAAATAAACACTAACGCCAAATTTGTACAAATATTTAAGAGAATACTGAAAAATAGCTAACTTGCTCTACTACAGTTGAGAAAATTGGAAGCAGCCAAGGAAATAAATAGAGGAGTATTATTGAAGTAATGCACAAAGATTTTTTAACTATATCTGATAAGGTTATCATGTTCACAAAATCTGGAGCAAATGTATGCTTGAAGTGACATACGTTTTTCCTAAACAGGTAAATGTGGTAGAACTCAAGGTAATAATTTTGGATTCCATTACTAGATGTCAGTAGACAGCTTCTCGGACATTGTTCACATCTCAAGCCCAAATAATAACATCTTTTGAATCCTGTCTCAAATATATAAAGCCGCCCATTTCGAGGCAGTATTTGATCAACTAACACACCAATGGCCTAGTATGTTAGAAATATGTGGCAAAATGCAGACACATTAATTGTGGAACAGCATACGTGCAGTACCTCTTCTTGAATTCCATTTTTTCAAACAAATTTCCTTGGCAAAATTAAATAACAAATTTTCAGCGGGAGCACTGTTCTTTTTTTATTTCTGAAACCAAATATAAACTAAATAAATTGTGATCATGAACGAATCAAAATTGCATCGACTTTGAAAGTGAAATGAAATAGTTTTCAAAAACAAATTTTCGAAGGCACTTACTCAGCACTAAATTAGATAAATACCTCTTGACTCTAATGACGAGACACGCTTTTCAGTAACTACAGTAACACAGGTATGGTGATGATATTAGAAAATATTCAATCAATATGACTCAAATTTTTTCACATAAATACCTCGTTTTAGATATTGTACAAAAAACCGATAAGTGTGAGTGTTTGGGCACTGACAGCTTGCTCAGTCGACTGTCTCGCAGCTGAAAACTTATAAAACAAAATGGTGTCAAACCATTTCCCTTTTCCGATTCAATACACATAATAATAATATCCATTAAACCACACCATTAAAAAACTGTTGGGAAACTAAACGAAATAATATCATAAATTGTAGATTCGGTTAATCATTCTGAAATCTGTGTCAGCTCTAACGAGACCTTTTATTGTGCAAATTTATTCAAAACCAAATTGCCTTGATAGAGCTCACAAAAACTTCATATCTGAAGGAAGAAGCTTATAATCAAATGGTATAGATAAAAAACTAATCTTCCAAGCTCCAAATGGAATAAGTATTTCAGTTTCTCTTCTGCAACTACATACAAATTAATCTATTGAAAACACTTGTACCAGAATTCTGGTGTATGAAAAGTGTTTTCAATCGACTCATTTTATTTTGAGGGTTCCAATTCTACCAACAAATAAAAATTAATGATACAATGAATAAGAATAATGAGTAAAATAAAGTATTTTATCTATATCAATACTAATATGAATTCATGGATACATTTTTCCAGATAGCCGAGAGAAAAAACTGAAATTAAAGAGAAGAAAAACGAACTTATCCAACAGATAAGTAACAAACTTCATCATGAGGAGTTGCTGCCATTGGTCATTAATAACAATAAAAAAAATTACCCCTATAAATGAGAAACAAATAGTAACTCTTTTGAATCTGAAACTCTCACTGTAAGAATCCTAATTGATAACACTACAACTGATCGACAATAAGTAATAATAATGCTGATCCTGGGGAAAATCTGTTGTGAAAGAAGGTATAGTGTTTAACATGCGAGTCTCATTCTTTAAACTATCATAACCAACCATAACTGTGGATCAGTGCGGTGCATAGAGATATGTGGGAATATGCATGATTTATTGTTATTCTACTACTATGTCCAACAGGTTCAAAAAAGTTAGAAAAATGTCGTAGAGTAATCCAATAAAAATAAAAAATATTGTATCAAATTTGTGCGGGTTGTTTTCACTTTTGTCTGTTTTCCCTCTCTAGACATAATGGAGGTATATTTCTAAATTTTTGCATTCTTATCAAAGCGTCCTTTCAAATACTGATATCTTTGTTGCTTTTGTTTCATGATGTTGTTACTCCAAGTTTATACTCCAAGTATTTTGCAGGCGGTTTGCTCTTTACTATTTGACTGGTAATAATTGAGATATATGATGGAATCGGCCGATACTTGATGAAAATCCATAACTAACGTATTCCAAAAACACTTTATTGTGAGATTTTCACTAAATTGTTTTACAAAAACGCAACACGTGTTTCGCCATACAATGGCTTCATCTGGCGTGTCTTTCAACATCTGGCGTGTCTTTCAACATCTGGCGTGTCTTTCAAGACACGCCAGATGAAGCCATTGTATGGCGAAACACGTGTTGCGTTTTTGTAAAACAATTTAGTGAAAATCTCACAATAAAGTGTTTTTGGAATACGTTAATAATTGAGAGATTTGAAAATGGTTTCTGATAAAATATTATAAACTGTAATTTTTCTGGGTTCTGTCTCGAACACTATCTCATAAACCATACTTTTCTTGTTGATGAGGTTCTGAAGGTGAGTTTACTAAGAATAAGCAATTCATTGTGTGATACCAAAACTGTATAAAACACTTATTGCATGATGTAGACATTCTTCTCAAGTTAATTTTGGTTTTTGGTCTTGTGTTGTAAAGAAAAAAGTGGAGAACCTTAAGAAAGCCGGTAACTTACATTAATAGGAATGTCAGCAAATCACCCCACCGACTTTTCACTAAGTGTAGTCAGTTCAAGGATCTTATTGTTCTAAAAGTATAAAGTGTGTATTTATGTGTGGTTTTTTGTTACAATGTACAAGTTCATCAGATGTTCCATATTTTTCAAGTTACCATGAATAAAAACAAAAAACCTAGACAGGTAACAACATTATTATGGTTGAATATGGGATCATTATCTTTGTATTCGAACATAAAAAATACTCAGGCACAGATCCATTATCAATTATTCCTTTGGATATCGAGCATTGATTCAAAAGTGTTATTTTTCATTCCTCTTATAACAAATAGAAAATAATTTGAATTTTTGGATGGTAACCACTAACCTGCAGTCTTTCTGAAAGAAAAGAAGTAAATCGTAAACTAGAAAGCCACCTACCTGAAACGGGAGGGTCTTACTGGTCAAATTCAATGTCTGTGATGGTGATGGTGTCGATGGTGACCTTAAAAAAATTAAAAAGATTTCATAATTACAAGCCTCATATATCAAAGACTATTAAATATTTCTATGTTTAAAGAAATCTCATACATTTGAAAGGATTTATAAACATCAAATTGCAGTAATTTATGAAAATATATAACTTTGAGTATTGGGTACATACCACACACATTTTATGAAAAACATTCATAATTGGCCTTAAAACTTTATAAAAGTTAAACAAATTTGAAAGAAGGGGGGTTGTAATTTGAGGAGAAATATTCTTTAATAGTATAAAATTCTTCAATCAGCATCAACAGTTTTATATTCTGAAATCTGCCAAGATGGATTTTTCAATGTCATTTAATTTGTTTTATTGAACACTCTGACCTCCAATAATTCAGGACTAAATTCTGAAATGAAGAAAATTCCTGAAGACGCCTTCTTGGTTGCTGAAACGCGCGTCAAGATGAGTATTGCAGTTCTGGTGATTGGGAAATGTGCTTTTTCTGGAAAATCTTTTAAATTTTTCATAATCTCGACAATTTTCAAGGCGTTGGATTTATTAAAATAATTCTGTTTGTAATTATCAGATCACCGAGTAAATTCATGATTGACCACAAATTGGTTACCACTTTCTAGGAGCTGCTGATTATTAGGTTTCACACTTCCTTTCGATTAATCCATGGCTGAAACTCATAGCTGCTTTCACACTGATGAGTTAACCAAAGTTTAGTGTTTATGTTATTAAATTCTTTGTTTTTATGGAATAGGCTACTTCAAAATGATACTGAGTGGAGAAATTGATTTACATTTGCCTCGTTTTGTGTTTCTCCAAACATTTCAAGACATTCTGATTCGAAATGAAGTCTAAATGAAGCGAAATGAGTCTTACCAATGTTTTGACATGTTTGGGCACACTGCTGAACATAGTTGAAGCAATGAACATCAATTTATGTATCCAATATAAATCAACAAAGTAACTAAAATGAAACAATGTTGCTACTGCTCCGAGCGACCTAACATTTTAATCAATAATTCCTTTTATTTTTTAAATGAAAGTAAACATTGATCAATTTCATAAATTGCATCAGCATTTCATTAATCAATCTGTAAAAAAATCACTACATAGTAAAAAAAAGTCGCTTGAGATAGATCAAAAAATGTACTACAGTATTGTACACCTTGAAAAGTTCTACAAAAATATCCGCGATGGTATATGTCTATCTCTTGGGGAAAACCCACAATGACCATTTTTTATTCTTGAAAAGCAATTTAAGCGATACAGCATCAATCCTTATCCATTTAATATGAATTATTATAGTCCTTTACAGAATGTAATTTATATGAATATTTTCGAAGATATTACAGATTTAAAATGCAGGGGCACAGCGGTTGCGGCGGTAACGGCTGGGGGGCCGGCGGCGTGTGCCTATAAATAGCGCGTCGAAGTCCGCGCTTTGTCGTACAGCACTTTATGAATAACAGCAATCGCTGTTATTCATAAAGTGTATACATTTATATGTATATTTAATATCAGCCTTGCACCCGTGCGGTGCCGGGGCGGTTCGCTAGTATTTTATATTCCGTTTTCAAGCTCCGATATCTAACAATAAATATTTCAGTATGCGGAACATTAGACGTAGCCATTCCCAATTTGAGGTTAAAATTTATAATTACAATGTAAAAATCACTTATTGTGATATATAATATGTGCAAAATATTAGTTTTAAAAACAACTATATGTGTGGTATAAAAGAATTGAAACAGTAGAAGTTTTTCAATAAACAATGTCAAACGATAGTTATATGTCATTAATAGACAAATTTGGACTCGAATTAAGATTTTATGGCTATCACTGTTTGATGTACTGAGATCAGGTTATTATCCAAATAAAAGGTATCGCTACATATAAGTGCATGTTTTATGACATATTTTGTTGATATGGCATGTGAAACATATGAGGCCATGTGTGTGACAGTAGTGTGCAACTAAATAATAGAACTATCAATCAATGCAGTACATTATAATATAGTGTCTTACTTGAATCCCGATTCTTCCTACTTCGATCTTTGTCTTTTTCCCTTTCCTTGTGAGACTCTTTTTCTCGATGAGATTCTCTATCCCTTTTATCACCTCTGTCTGCAGTCCGTGATCTCCTACCTCTTTCTCTTCTTTCTCTATCCCTCTCTCGTTCTCTTTCCTTCTCCTTGTCCTTTTCCCTAAAATAGCAGGAATAATTTAAAAATTCAAGATAACACATTTTCTTACCTTTGATCGACACGACTTTTTTCCAACATCCTCTCCCTTTCCCTTCTTCTTTCACGTTCCCTGTCTCTATCACGATCACGTTTTTCATCTGATCCCAACCCGCCCTTACTGAATGACCTTTCTTCTCTTGCAGCTTTTAGTGAATCATTAACTTCTTCGACAGCTACCTTCAGTCTAGCGAAACCCATGTGCTGCTTGCCCATCAAATGATCATCTATACGTTGTTGGGCATCTCCAACTATGAGAAAAGCACCACACACCTCACACACTTCCATTTGTTTTTCTTGAGCTGCTGCAAGCTCAGCTGTAGCAGTAAAATGGCTACAAATACAAAATCATTGAGTAACAAAAGTAGCATTCAATTAATTCGTTCATTGCTGATAATGGTTGGCATTTCATATTTCTTAATGACTAACAGAATAAAAATATAGAAAATTATATAAATATTTGCTCAAACCACTAATGAAATGTCCTATAGTTTCATCAATAAAACTAACCCATACCTCTAACAAACAGGTTATCAAATTTATCAAAGTACTGACGAACATAGAAACAGATTTTTATTCAATTACTGAGCACATGATAATAAATAGATCGTCACTATCCAGAAGCTGACGTTGCATGTGAATTAAATTGAAATATATTTGTTCGGTCTTAAATAAAACACATTACTTCAGTGTATCGGTTCTATTACTGCAAAATATGTATCATAAACACATGCAAGAAGTCGCTGCCTTTTTTTCCTTTTCCCTATTTCATATTTTAAGCAGATATACACTGAATACAGCCACTCAAACCCAGTTTCTCCAGTGACTCTTCGATCTTGGTAAAAGTAATGGCGATTATATTTAGATATTGTTATAATTGACAAACATGTCGAATATGTGAAACCTATTTTCCGAATTTGTTGGATATGGTCTGCAGATAATTGGCTCTAGTTTTATTCCATTGACGACGGGCGTGTCATCGTTCCTAGTTGCGAAAATTATTTCCAGCCTTGAAAGTTAACAGTCTTTAATCAACTTCCTCCAAGAGAAGCAGACAACGTTTGGAAGATCTCCTCAAGAAGAAACGAATATTCTGAGTTCACTAACGTAACTTCACGACACGTACGGTGTTGTGACATCTGCATATTCTTCACATGCTTACCAATAAAAAAAAATTAAAAACACCAGGGTTTATCAATGTACTGAGAAAGCATTACTACATGAAAGGATATAACTACACAGGAAAGATTCAGCCCTCGTCGACATAAAAATAATGAACATGACCATCAAATTAGGGTGGGCCACATGAAAACCAAGATCTATATCTTGGAGGTGATGATTTAGAAGTATCCATTAGAAACACTTGCCTATGTTTCAAACAAGACACCATGTGTCAGTCTACAAAAGATTGGTACAGTATATTAGAATCTGTGGCACAGGCCCCACATATTCGTTTGGTGGCCTGACAATGACAGAGGAATCCCCTAACGTGAATACTAAAAAACCTAATGAAAAACTATAATAGTTCTCACCCATTGTCTACTTGCTTCCTTAGATTGTCCCGTTCATCTTTGAGTTGGTCACAAAGCTTCATGAGTCCTTGAGCCTGTTCTACATTACCATCTGTTCCAGCTTTTTCAGCCTCTGCTTCGAGATCATTTATTCTTTCATTCAATAAATTAATCTGTTCCTGGTTTTTCTGTGTTTGTACCGGAGTTAACGAAGGAGTTTCATTCTTCTCCGAGGCACTGAGGGCTAATCGTTGTTTGCCTTTGATAATTTTCCTTTCGACGTCATTCATCATAGATGCACAGAATCGGAGGAAGTCTTCTTGGTACTGGAGTTTTCTGTGGTGTGTGGGTTTCGCTTTCAGAAACAATTTTCTAACTTCTTCATCGTGAACTTTGCTACATGCTCCTAAATCTACTCTGGTATTAACGAATAAATCGTGAGGGCAGAACTTTGCAAGAAAGTACTTGCAATACTGAAAATAAGGGATGAAAAAAAATTGGGATTATAAACAAAAACAATTCTTACTTCGGGATCTTCCCAGTTCAATTCTTTCACTTTTTCGTTAGGTGCTACATTCCTATTGCGTCCCATTAACTCGTCCAAAAGCTGAGCAGCAGCTAACACAGCCATTGTCGAATTATTAAAGTGAAAAGACGGAGAAATGAGAAACTGAGAACAATTCCATACATAAATGCCAAATGCAAATGAATTGATAGTTGACACTTGATCACTGACAATAGTGACTAGTGACAATCAGGAATTTTCTGTTATGCCCAAACCACAGTATAGCCACCTTAGACAAGAAAGTCTCTTGTCTAAGATAGCCACCCTATAGAAATGTTTACTTCTATACTAAAACCAATAATGATTGAGAGTAGAAGTAAGCCCAGTTGACAGCAAATCGGGGGCGTGCTTATTAATTTTTGAGAGGGTTAAGAATGAAAGAAAAATTCTTAGTACAATTA